TGATCATCGCTGTCTCCGAAGGATTGCCGTCATCCAATGTCAACACCATGCTAGTAACGCAGATGTTCGGCATCGTGTATTCAGACGCAGAGACGATCATGCAATCGGTGTCACCATTTTGAAACACCGAATTCGGTGTCTTGGACATGTTCTACCAATGTCGCCTCAGAGAATTCCACGTCGTGCATTATTTGCCGACGCTGGAACTGGTTGGAAGAAGCGGAGAGGTGGTCAGTATATAACATGGTGTCGTGGTATGAAAGAAAGCTGCAAAGTGCTAGCTTCTGTTGGTCCTTCACGACTCCATGGTTGGGGTTCGAGAGATGGTGCAACACAGTGGCTGGAGACGTTATCAGATATGTCTCAGAATCGAAGCTAGTGGCGATCTTGCTGTAACTTTCTTTTACTTTCTTCATGAAAAAAGGTGGTTGTGTCTTTCTTAACTGAACGATTTCTTCCGATTGTACCTTTACGTTCCCCCATTATTCCACTACTATTATTACACTAACTCTGCCTGGAGTCCCTCTGAGGGCTACTGCCGGTCCCAAGCCCGGGTAAAGGAGGAGGGTTGGGCATGGGGTTAGCGTCCCCATCCCGTAGAAAACTAACTCGCTAAAAAAACGCTAACCAGAAAAAATTATTCAAACCTTTTAAACTCTGCCCTGGGAGTCAGAAGGTCTTCATTTAGAAGAATTATGCCGCCTCATGATGAAAGCCGAATTCCTTCGGAAGTTACGAGGCCTATGTCCCTTCTGACAACCAGAGCGACCATTTATTTAGGTACATGGAATGTTCGTACAATGTGGGACACCGGGAGAGCCTTCCAAATTGCTGCAGAAATGAGAAGATACAACCTAGAGGTACTTGGGATCAGTGAAACACATTGGACACAAGTTGGACAACAACGACTAACTACAGGAGAGCTCCTGTTATACTCCGGCCATGAAGAAGAAAATGCACCACATACACAAGGAGTTGCATTGATGCTGTCCAAACAAGCACAAAATGCGCTTATAGGATGGGAATCTCATGGACCGAGGATCATCAAAGCCTCGTTCAAAACAAAGATTTGGGATGAGGAACAAGTACCAACAGACTGGAAAGAAGGACTTCTGATCAAAATACCGAAGAAAGGAGATCTCAGCAAGTGTGATAACTACAGGGGCATCACTCTTCTCTCAATACCGGGAAAAGTCTTCAACAGGGTATTGTTAAACAGGATGAAGGATGAGTAGACGCCCAACTTCGTGACCAACAGGCAGGATTCCGTAAGGATAGATCATGTACAGACCAAATCGCAACTCTACGGATCATTGTGGAACAATCAATTGAATGGAATTCATCACTCTACATCAACTTCATTGACTACGAAAAGGCATTTGATAGCGTGGACAGAACAACACTATGGAAACTTCTTCGACACTACGGCGTGCCTCAGAAGATAGTCAATATCATACAGAATTCCTATGATGGATTACAATGCAAAATCGTGCATGGAGGACAGTTGACAAAGTCGTTCGAAGTTAAGACCGGTGTTAGGCAAGGTTGCTTACTCTCACCCTTTCTCTTTCTCCTGGTGATCGACTGAATCATGAAGACGTCAGTATCTGAAGGGAAGCACGGGATACAATGGACATCTAGGATGCAGTTGGACGATCTAGACTTCGCAGACGATCTGTCCCTTCTATCCCAAACGCAACAACAGATGCAGGAGAAGACGAACAGTGTGGCAGCAGTCTCAGCAGCAGTAGGTTTCAATATACACAAAGGGAAAAGCAAGATTCTCCGATACAACACAGAATGCACCAATCCAATCACAATTGACGGAGGAGATTTGGAAGATGTAAAAACCTTTACATATTTGGGCACATCATTGATGAACAGGGTGGATCTGATGCAGATGTGAAGGCGCGGATCGGCAAAGCAAGGGCAGCATATTTACAACTGAAGAACATCTGAAACTCAAAACAACTGTCAACCAACACCAAGGTCAGGATTTTCAATACAAATGTCAAGACAGTTCTACTGTATGGGGCAGAAACCTGGAGAACTACGAAAGCCATCATCCAGAAAATACAGGTGTTTATTAACAATTGTCTACGCAAAATACTTCAGATCCATTGGCCGGACACTATTAGCAACAACGTACTGTGGGAGAGAACAAACCAGATTCCAGCGGCGGAAGAAATCAGGAAGAAGCACTGGAAGTGGATAGGACAAACATTGAGGAAAGCACCGAACTGCGTCACAAGACAAGCCCTCACATGGAATCCTCAAGGTGAAAGGAAAAGAGGAAGACCAAAGAACACATTACGCCGAGAAATGGAAATAGACATGAGAAAAATGAACAAGAATTGGTTAGAACTAGAAAAGAAGGCCTAGGACAGAGTGGGTTGGAGAATGCTGGTCGGCGGCCTATGCTCCATTAGGAGTAACAGGCGTAAGTAAGTATGTAAGTAATTATTACACTACCTTACACAAATCTCTTCCTAATTGTTCTTTTTTTTTACCCTCCTTACTTTTTTTATTTTTCCTTCTCTTTAAATTCTCATTGTTTTGTGTGGTGAATATATATTTGGCGCACTCTGGTACCAATTTTTATGTGTTCAAATAATAATAATAATTGATCTATCTAAGTATGGCTTTCGGCCATGATTTCTCGGTGAGCTAATATTGTTTACCAACACTAAGTCTCCCAGTTGTGTATTCCTTATCATGCCTAACCACTTGGATCTCGCCAGAAGGGTTGGTAAGTATTCCCGTAATCATCTGTTCCAAAATAGGTTGGCTAGTTGTTGTGCTTCCTCCCATTTCCTATTATATAAGCACGTTTTACTCATCTGCGCATCTGCGAATGATACACCTTTGTAAACTAACGATAACTTATGTAGTGTAAGTACATCCAGGTGTTCACAGTCAATAACTAGCTTTGTTAGCGGTTGATTGTTCAGTATTCCTCTAGCCTCTATTACAAAACGTATCCAAAGACTAGTCCGTCAATACCTTCTGAAACAGTAGTGATGGTAGAATCCTTCTTATTGACTTAATAATCCGACCCTATACACTGCCTCGATGTCTGGTTCTCGAAAGGTTAAAGCGCTATTCACAACCTCTTATTAAAAGTGAATTTGCTACCTTATTCTGGTTTGAACTACACATAATCTAAGACTAATATTGACTCCTTTTAAGCTACTAGATGCACCCTTACTCTTGTTCCCAAGTCGTACAAAGGTACCTTTCTCATCACCATGTACGAGGTCACGGGGAAGATGTGCTGCTTGCTTCTTCAGGGTCTTAGTTATTTAGTTTTTTTGTTACAGCGGCCTTTGGCTTTTTCGGTGTCTTGACTTTCGGCTTGGTGACCTTCTTTTTCTTAGGCTTTCTCAGAGTTGATATGGGTTTATTAGCGAATGGTGCTTCAATTTTTAGCTTAAAAACCTTGGAGTCAGTTAATAAAAAGGAACAATGGATTTGACGACAGACATTTTCAAAACGAGCATACATCACAACACCATATGTAGATTCTGAGGCATCGGCAAAGCAATGAATGTTTCGTGCCTATGGGTAATCCTTGTTCTTTTGATAGAAGAAAGCGGACTAGTAGTGAATAAAACTTTATTTAGATCTTCTCGCAGTCACAGTGGAGCGTTGGACTACCAGTTCAAACAAACAAAGCTTCTTAACATTCAATATAAGATAATAAGAAATATAATGCCTATACAAAGTAAAAAAGTGAATGAATACATGAACTCTATTGTTTTGACATATAATTAGTTTTTTGAGGTCAACTCTTAATCAATCAACCTAAGCTGTTACATATACACATTGCAAAAGAAATTTAAGAATACATGTGGTTTATCATTATCCTCTTCCACCAGTGATATAACATTATTATGCTGAGGTGCTTCCCATCTTAATAATTACTTACCTACTCCTTTACCCCTTAGCAGAGGACCATTTGCCACCCAACAATCATCATCCTTGGTAGACTGGACAACAGAACAGGAATCCTCCATTTGAAATTTAAATATAAACCTCACCACATTGCACATTCATTGGAGCATTTTACTGTAGTTTAATTCGAACGAATCTTACGTCTTTCCGTAAGCAAAAATTAATATGGAAGAGAATCAGGTTAACAATTACTGATGAGACAACACCGCAGTATCATAAGGGAAGAAACATCTGTGCCTCGACCCTCAGAAAATCTCGAAGAAAATTATGTTAAGAAGTCTGAAGAGCAAATTACCGCTTGTATTCGAATATAAGCCAAAGGTATAAGAAAAGGGAACTTCACATGTAGCTTTTCTAGGATGCTGATTTCCCCGAACCCACACAATGTAGGAGGGTTGGGCATACGGTCAGCAACCTCATCCCGTAGAAAACAAACTTGCTTAGAAAACGCTAACCAGAATAAACAATTTAAACCAATTAAACTCTGCCCTTCGACTTCAAGGAAAAATTACCACGCCTCATGTTGAAAGCCCAGATTCTTCGGAAGTCACAATACCGATGCCTCTTCCAATAATGAGAGGAGTTAACAACAGTCGGAAATAAGACGAAAATGATATCAAGATAGTCTGGAAATAAAAATGAGAAGTTAATGGTGTACGGTTTCAAGTGATTTACAATTTTAAAGAGGAGTTATTGACCAATGCAAGCGCACTCGCAATATCATAAACTACCTACCTCTGTCGAATTGTCTACTATTATGACGACCTGCTAGGGCTTAACTAGTTAGGAATAGAGAAGATGTGATCATAAAAACACAAAAGGCTGACTATTCATACCCATAAAGGATTCACATTTACAGTTGATGAAAATATTTGAAAAATCTAAAGTTGTTACCAAGATAAGACAGTAAGTTGTTAATTTTTTAAGTGCTTAAAAAGAACAGTGAACTTTTGCATAGGGTGCTGGACATTTAAAAAGTTGTGCTTCTGTCAACAGTTTCGAACGAAGGCGGGCGTTTGCAGGCTTTGAATTTTGCATGTTTATTTGAAAGGTTTGTTGCTTATTATTTCCGAGTGGCACTTTTTGAGTTTTGTACTACTGTAACCAAATGTCACACACCTCTTTCTCATTAAAGATGTGAACAGTATAGTTGAAAACTCACATTTATTCAGAAACTATCAGTAATGTCTGTGGCCTATCATTAATTAACAGATTTTCATTTTAAGCAATGAAGTTAGGGTCAATTTAGTTATCTTTTTTGCATAGTATGTGCTAATATGAGTTCCGTGCGTGAAATTTCGGCATCGTTACTTTTGCGATCAATATGTACTCTCTACATATAAACGTCAAGAAGATCGGTTAAATTCTGAATATTCACCCGGCAACATACGTATTCAGTACTCGTAAATTTTCTGAAGCCAAGATTGGGATGTGCGAAGTTTATAATTTCGTCAGTCTCCACACTGATTGTGGTCTATTTGATTTTTCTACAATTTACAGGTGATTGAGATGACTGAACTAGTAATATACTCAGTGAATTAATTCTTTCAGCGAAGTAGGGTTTGAAAAGTAACTAGTATCCAGACGGCTGAACTTAAACATATTATGGTATCCGGAAGTTTATTTATGTACGAAACTATGGATGTCAAATAATTTATTAACTAAAGATTAAATTGAGAACCGTAATACAACTCACCATCCTTTACTCCTACTCGTAGTAAGGTCATTGTGTCATCTAATCGGGTGAGAGTTGAAATTGGAACTAATTATTCGGAAAAAGGCAGAAGCGAAAGCTTTTAGTCAAGTATGTGGTACTATTTTAAGTATTTAATGTAGCAAGTTTTCTCTCAAAGGGTTCAGGTAGGTTAGTTGATGTTTCAGATAGTAGCCAACTACAAGAACTGACTTCTATTAATGGTTGAAAAATAAACTCACAACCCAATATGCTTTGGGTAATTTGGGAATGCTTGCCCTAGAGTGTGTGGGGAGTGAACTTCAGTATATATTCTGGTGGGGAGTGTTTATGACTAAATTATTATTAGATCGCCACTAAGTCATCTATATTCTTAAATATATGGGTCCAGTGTTCCCAGGAATTACTATTGGAATCCAAATCTAGAGCCAGGGACTGATTTTGCAATTTATCTCTGAATACACTCCAAAGTAGTCCTGTCCTTTTACAGTGGAGCCAAATAAAATTAGGTTAGGTAGAAACTCCTATCAAACTGGTCGAAGTACATTTCGAAGTTACTAGCATAAAGCTGGTACAAAAACCATTTTGTCACCACATGATTTTACACAGTAACGGACCAAAATATCTCTACTAACGATACTTCTAATGAAGACTTAGTCAGGTATTTGTGGTTTAGATTATGCTATAAATTTAATGTTTAACTCTTTTAAGATTTGTAAGTTTACTCATTTCGATCTGCCGAACTTTGAAATCGAATCAGATCCTTATGAAATGACAATCTACCCATCTGGTTGTAGACTTCAGTGTTTCACATCATCAGCTGGAAATTTGTTTTGAGAATACCTGGAGGGGAATGTTGCCAATGCAAATTAAAAATGCAACTTGCCTGACACTAAAAATTAAGGGTTTTAGTAGGGGTTTCTGTATTTCAAGGGAGTGGATAATTTACCTTGACATTAAATAGGTGTTGGCCAGTCGACCAAAAGGGACTAACGACTTAAGGTTGCTGATAAAACAAAAAAATTGATCCAACCAAAGATCGACAAAGCGGAAATGTATTGCGCCAATCTGTTACTAACTACTTATCTTGATCTAAATCCCAAACAGTTTACTTTTAGTCTCACTGATATTAATTTTATCGTTTTGTTATAAGGTGTGACGACTTAGAATATTATTATTTTGTTGGGCCTGATGTATCTGTATGTCTGCGGTTGTAGCCAACTGTTTAATAACCTCACATTACCAACATGCGCGTGACTGTTGTAGATGGTTTTATTGTTGCGAAATAATAGAATGTTTCCACCTTTGCTCACCTCTGTTGAATTAATTCTCATGGGGACAAGATTAACACCATTGTTTGAGTTTTAGTTGACCCTAGAAAACTGACTTCGGAATAGCATCGTTACAAAATTTGGAAACATCAAGATACTATTCCTAGTTAAGCATTTATTCCGGCGATCTAGGTTTCCAAGTTTTAAGGGGCTCTTCTCTAATACTACATTCTGTTCTGCTCATGTTTCTTAACGCTTTTGATGTTGCAACCGGTTCTATCATTACCAGTCTTTTTTATGTATGATATTTTTATCAGGTCAAAAACTGGTGATGTATATGTAGACATGATGCATTCGACTTCCAGCCAATGGCTTCAACCATTGTCACACAGCCCCACTACTCATTTCCCAGCATCTGGTCTGCCTTTCAATCATTTGCACCAAAATTTACCCACCCAGTCTAGTCCAAGTGTTATGTTAGCATCTCAGATCACTTCATCTGAACCACTATTTCCTTTGTCAAATACATTCACTGTCGATACCCAACCTGGGACTTTTCTAGCAGGTACGTTTTACGCTGTTATTCTTTTATAATAATCATTATTTGTTTCCCATATTGACGTAGTTTTAAGTAACTTGGTCTTATTTCTTCTATGATACATCGTTTCTGTTAATATGATCGAGCAGTTCTTTCTAATTCTCTCATTCTTTTGCCCATAACTTTAGGTTTTACACTCGATATTTTGTGGTGTAGTGAGTGATCTAATCATATGGATCTCAAGACCAGGTCGTCTTGATAAACTAAACAAGCTCAACCATATCCAAGTTTCAGCTGGTGATCATGACACATTTGACACTTGAATCATTGCAATCCTAATATCCTGTACCATCTCTTATTGAAATAACCTAGTAGGAAATATGGTCTTCTGAGACATTTAGAAAGACCGACGATGCTGTCGCATATAGCGAACTTGATTGTTCATATTATGGAGTGCTGTAGTATTGTTTAAATCGTCTGGTTCTCCTTGAGGTTTGATGTTTAACCAAAAACATTGTTTAGGTACTGTTTGCGATTTTGACTGAAATTTCACAAAATAATTATGTAATATTCCGTATATGATTTAATGTATGATGTAGGAATGTAAGGCTTTTTTTCCTTCGTAGTTCCACAAAGCAATATTCAGTTCCTAATTAATAATAGAAAAAATTTAATCAAAATTGATTGGTTGGACTAATTTAATGTAATTTAACACATCACTTAACTTTCTAAACTTATTAGTATTCTACTAGAATTATGATATAACTGTGCTACCTATCCAAGCTGAAATAAATATACTACTAGCATGTATGTATTTAAAAAAAAACGAATTCCTAGTTTTTTGTTCTGAATCACTATATTTCATATTTTTTCTGTGTTTTTTTAGATATAAATTCAGAACCTCAGCCTGTAAGTTTTGTCAAGCATTTACTTGCATTTCGTAAAAATCCAGTGATTGTGATAATCGTTTTGGAAAATGTTCAGCGGAACATGAATTTACAGTGCAAAAAGCTTATTCTCTCTATTCGGTTTATCTGTATATGGTAGATTTAGTCTATTCTACTGCATTTAGTTTGTATCTGAGAGTAATTGTAGAAATGGGGATAAACGCATGTATTTATAAAATGGACTGTGTGTATCAAACAATTTATAGAGGTATAGAGAACTCTTAATTCCTGGAGGTTTGCAAATTGATACATCTAAAATCCCTGAACTAATGGTTATAGTAAATTACTAATTAATTTTTGACTGATTCTGTAGTAATTAAAAACATAAAGGTTAGCTATTGATTAAAACGAGTTGGATTCTGTAATAGCCAATGTATCATTTCAGGTAATTACCATTTGTCTCTACTCCATGTATAGACTTTAAACAATGACACTTAGGTGCACCAGGGTTTTTTTGTCATCTAATCAGACAAAGTCAATAGACCTGGAGTTTTACACAGCTTAGATTAACCAATGTGAACCTGATATGCATTATAATCCACAAGATTTATTTTGTCGCACATTATAGTTAGCTAGCGCTGTATTTGTATGTAACATGTATTAACCAGATCGATTACTACTCATTTGTTGATTTTATCATGAATGTAAGAGCATGATATGTGGCAATTTCAAATATGTCCATCCCACAAATTAATGGATGTAGTTAATTTATCCTGAAACACTCCACTTTAAGATGTTTAATAAGGTATCTTATAACCCATATTGTCTGTGGTTCTTGACATGATTTATTTCCTTAAAATGTTTCCTAAATTCCTTTGGTTGGTTTTATCCATCATTTAAAAAGATAACTACTGGATTGTAGGTTGCTGTTTAGTACAGTAAGACTAAATGTTTGTTAGGATAACTTTTTTCTCGAAGTTTTGATTCTGAATTGGATTGTTGTATACTAGTAAGATGAAACTAGTTTTAATAAATATAAAAGTTGTTAGAACGGGCTATTATTAGCAAACTGTAAGTTGGAAAATAAAAAAGAATGATTGAAATCTTCTATTCACCAAATATTCGGTGGAGAGATTATAGTTTAAACATAAAATTTTCAGTTGTTTTGTTATTGGCTGGAATCATGTTCCATCTTCGATCTGGGGGATTTCGGTTATACTCTCATCCCTAAGAATAGGTATAACTGTGAGCCGGAAACGTTATCCTGTACTTCATCGCTAATTTTCGTTAATTTGCTAGTTCATATTGCTAGGACTGGTAGTCAGTTGTTACACTGAATAATGAGTATTATCTAGTTTCGCACTACCTAGGCTCTTGTAGTGTGTCATTCATTTTGAAATAATCATATACCAACTGTTTTTTTAGCTTGGTCCATTGGGTACTAACTATTACGGTTTCAGTCATGATCTATCAAGTGGTGTTGATTCTTCCCCAGCTAACTTGTGGTACAATCCTTCTACTCCAACTGGCCCAATGACGGGGTCATTACAGAGGGAATGCAATATAAATGTCGACTGCTCAAGTGGTCTAGGTAAGATAATTTATTTAGTAGACAGATGATTACGCGCATATTTTGTTAAAATCTGATTAATTCCGTAAAATTAAATGATGTTACTTATTATGTAAGAGTCTGGCATAAATGTACATTAGCCCGAGTTGTCATATCAAATCCGCAAAATGAGATTAAATTCACATGATGAGTAGCAAATAATTCTAAATAATAGTAGCCTTAATGATAGTCCGAAAGATTAAACGTTGGTAATGTTTGCCGCTCAAAAATTTAGTTTATCTTTGCAAATTTTATCTTTTTACGTTCTCTACTGGTTAAGTTTGTTGCCATGAAACACATATTTCATACTAATCTGTTTATGGTACTTTCTTCCCAAAGTTTTTTCTTTATTTCATATATTAATCTTCCATTCAGTACTCATAATTTGTCTAATGTTTACAGACGGTATAGCCCTATCAACTGAGATACGGTATATATATATATATATATATATATATATATATATATATATATATATATATATATATATATATATATATGGTTATTTATGAACCACACTCTAAGTGTAAGTGCTAATGGTACTACCTGGTTGCCAAGATCGAATTAGGTGAGGCGGGACTCGAACCTGATATCTAGCGGTTCAAAATCGAACATCACTACCTCAGTATGGTAACCGCCATCATTGGTTAGAGATGCTAAGTAACATGAATTGGAATCAGTCACAGTGGTGCAAGTACATTCATTCTTTATCACCCCTTAGATTTCGAGTTTCCAGTGTTTCTTCATGCAAATCTTTTCATCCCTTATTCTTGAACCACGCTTTTACTATCATTGATACTATTATTATTTGCACTCTTTTGGTGTTAATTTCATTTGTTTGTTCTGATTTAATACAACGACTCGGGCCAACACACATTTTGTGACTAATTCCCTAAATATTAGTCTGTATAGTTTAAGGAACTAAATTTCCTGGTCATGGTCTTGAAGACAGCCAGTGCTACTGACTATAAATTAGATGTGATATTGACCGTAAACCTATGGCGATGTCTTAGTTAAATCCCACCTTTATCCTGTACATCTCATGATTGTAACAAGTTATTATCTGTCTTCAAGTTTCTTCCCTCTCCATGTTATTGTTTTCTTGTTGGTTTCGCATTGTTACAGTGATATAAAGTATGATCAATAGACATTTGTACTAGGTTATGGATTACATCTGTTTTAGTTGGTTCTAGATTTATGTATTTGTTCACTTACGATTAGCATGGTATGCCACTGGTTACAAAGGAACATGACAAAATAATGAAAATGATATAGAGAAAAGGGTGGTGGTTACTAGCAACGTTTCGAGCTGCTTATTACTCAGGTCCCTGTCTCCTCACCCAAGGAGCTGTGATGAGTCAACACAATTATACTCTATTCCACCTATGACAATCTGACCAACCATGTTCTTTTGCCACTTCTCAACGTTGAAAAGTAATGCACCCTGTAGAGGTCTCCGGGAAGGCATCTGTAAAACGTCAGGATATCGTCAGTGGATGACGATACACATTGTCTGCATTACTAACAAGTTTCGTGACTGTGCGTAAGGAGTCCTCCAGAGGCAACTATGATGCAGATCGCTAACTGGTTGACTTCCATCTGAGTAGCCTCAGTGTTATTGTATTGTAAGGCCATGTTATTCACTTGCTGGAATATGAATGGTCGTTTTAGCAAACGATTTATACCATGTATTTCCTTTAGAGCTGTTTTCGCAATATCATTTAGAGCAAGAGTGAACAGTTATGGGGGTATTAGAGAACTCCGATCAGGTCTCCTGCTATTTGTGTTGTGTTATTTTGTTTGATATGCTTTTGTACGGGGCTTTAGAGATTATAATAAGACTGTCAAACATACTGTTCCTCAACACATTAGATGTGAAAAGTAGACATACAATTTAATGCTGTTTTAGAAATACGTGGTACACTCACTTTATTCTAGGATCATAGAAAAATCTTAGTTTCCCTTATGTTTCCAATCAGTCTCCTGGAAAATGGTTTAAGAAAGACTTTAAAGAGACTTTCTGGGATTAAGCATGTAAAGGATAATCGCAGCCCGATTCCAATTAAACTTGTTTCTGAACCATACCCAAACAGTTTAGTCTCTAAGTCTTTAGGAAATATGTATAGAGTATTTACAAGCAGCACCTACGTACAATCAATGAATTGGTTGGTACAGTAGTGAAGACTCAGTAATATATGTGTTAACTATTCCTGATAACCGTTCCTTAGATATATGATGCTGAAACTAGAATTTTATTGGTAAAAATCTATGAGCACATTGATTGTTCATCCAAACTTTCTAGAATCATAGGCTTCTTAAATCTATTACTTGCTATTGGGGTAGTTGATATGTGGCTATCTTTTTACAAGTTAAAAATACTTTAAGCTTTATTTCTTCTTCTTTAATGTCTCACATCAACTCGACGCACAAATACTGTGAAACTATTCAATCGAATTTAGACGAAAGTTCTTATTTATTTATTTATTTTTATTTCTTCACTCTTTTGTCTTACATTCATATTAAGATAGCTTTTTGCATTGTCTCTGTCATTCCCCATAAATTTACCAACTCATATCAATGTACTAATGAATACACCAATTTTTGGATTATTTATAAATGAAGCGGTCCTTATTGATTAAATCTTAATTTTAACACTAGCTAATTTATGTATACAGTACGCTTTTTCATCAATGAGATATTACACAAATTTCTTGTCTATATAACATATTGCTTCTCATCTAATTATGGACAAATAAACATTAGCATTGCGCTTGTCTGTGTTATATATGTATTACTATTACTGTTATCATTGTTCTCGATTGGCATTATTCTAGAATACATCAAACATATCTGGTAAACTCGTCGTATTCACACTATGTACCTATAAAAGTTCTAGTCTGTTTCTATTATGCTTATCTGATAAATTTGTCATGCATTTTGATGATTATGATTACCTTCAACGTGTTGATTAAGTAAGTAGACACATGGATATCTTGACCAGTTGTTAGTAAAACATCAATTCGACACATTTCTTCATAGTGTTAATATTCTCCCTTGGTATCTTCTCTCTACTGAGATTTTCTGCACATTTTCCTTTATTCTATCATAGTCATTTCAGTGTAACATAGGAGTTTTCAAATTTCCCTTAATTCCTATGACAATTTCATATAGACCTCCAGCTCTGTTTTTGTAACTGTGCTGTGAAAAAGGGGCAATATACTAGGTACTTCTGGACTAGATATTTGGTGTATGATAAACCTTATTTTTTTTTACATTCAATCCCCCCTTGTGCCATTTCGTTTCCATACTTATCGTTGTTGTGTAGGTGCTTTGCTTTTGTGTGTTGACAGTTAGTTGTTTTATCCGTCACCTATGTGCGTGTGTGTCTACTTCTTTTCGCTTGTTTCGGTGCTGACCCACCTTCCCCCTTTTCTTTCTTCTGTGTTCCTTGTTTTCTCCATAAAAGTTTCTTCCTTTCGACCATAAAAATATTCTTTAGCACACTCTTCTTTGTATAAACTTGGTATCCTTAACAAATATTTCGTCTAGTTGCATATTTGTTTTGTTAGTTTAATTTAAGGAAAGTTTGATTGTTATTTTTCTTTTCTTTTTTATAATAGAAACTGTTAAATTCATATATGAGTTAATAAAAAAGTAATATGTTGTAGAATTATATTTACCTGCAGCATTAATGTCTAATTCTCGGTCGACTTAAAACGTAATCAGAATCCCATAGAATTAGTTCACTTAATGTAGTAAAGTGACATTGGGAATGATTATGTAGAGAAAAATCCATTTTCGATAGATTGATCAGTATTTCCGTCTGTTCTATTGGAAAGCTTATTTTGAGACAATGGTAAAATATATTTCAACCATAATTCATATAATCAGAAATTGTTTTTTCCAGAATATTCTTAAAGCTTAAAGTAAGTGTTTCATTTAGTGTAATTCAATTCGATTTTCATAACATTCTGGTCCAATCACTTCATTAAAGTTATTAACTAATCGTATGTTTTTATGTCTAAATTAATTTCACTTTAACATATATCAACATAATAAGTTTGTTTTCTACAATATGTGATTAAATACTTTTGTATAATCACAATGCAAAGTTGTTAAATCTTGACTTACTATCTTCTGTCCTTTGAAAAATAGTTAATGCATCGAATGCCTAACATAGTTTATATTGTAGTGTTAGAATTTTAATTTGGTCTGTAACTAAGCTAGTATGATTGTCTTATTTTTATTCTGTCTCTCTCTAAATAACAAAATTCACTCTTATTCAGGGCGTAATGATGACCCGGTGCAATTGATTCCCGCGTGCACCTCAGCTACAGCAAAAATACTCACTTCACAGGTAGGTGAATAATTTTATTTTTAAAGCCATGTATTGTTTTCTATTTTTAAAAATAGAATTGAGAGTCCATTAATTTTCTTGTTATATCAACTTGTTTTGTTACTCTCATCTTGTATCACAAATTCATTAAACATTTGGTAAACTGTAACAGTGGTTCTAGGTATATGATTTGTCTGAACAAAATCATCCTAGACTAATTATTTTGTAGTTTCCTGAGTGCATTATTATTTTTAAGAATTGTAAATTTCTAAACTAATTGGTGTTTTTACTGCGATCACGAACGGATCGATGTTAGACCACCGTTGAAAACCTGGGTGACTCCCCAGCAGTGCTCATTCACGATTCCACATGCGCGAATCGGACCCAGGATCTTCGATCTCGTGCGAACGCCTAACTTCCAGACCACTTAGCCGGTATCCAACGGTGTTAATGTTTAACTTAAACTAATCCACGATATTGCATCTCTTGTCTTTGGTGAGTGACTGCCTCACACCCGATACGTCTCAACTCCACTGGTTGCGACTTCTCACTAGAAAAACGAAAAGTACCTCTCGAAGCTATTCACTATTGAGCACATGATAGTAATCAGTGTAGGGTTGTGGAGATTGTTGTTGAGGCCGAAAGTCCTTGGTTCGAGTCCTGCTCACGGGATCGTGGATGTGCACTGTTGAGAAGTCCCACATTAGGACGAAACAGCCATCCAGTGTTTCCAAGTTTTCACTAGTGGTCTAACATTGATCGGTTCATGATCTCACTAAGAAAACTCAATAGTCTCCACCAATCCTTTACTGATAATTGGTGCTTGTAGATTGACCTGGCCATTACACACTACATTTACATATAATTCTTGATAAACTGTTGAAATGTACGCTTCTTGTTTAAGGTTCACATGGTGATCGTGATCTTTATGATTGGGATTAGGTAATGTAAGCCAAATTGGATCATAGGGTAGGAAATTCGCTTATTTTCGAAAAAAGTCTTTCTCTGAATCATGAAGGAGCTAAGTGTCATTTAATATTTTCTCTTCTAGTTTCATCCATTCCTTCCAATGCACTAGTGTTTTAGGTTTCATTGTTACTACGGTTATTGATGGAATAATTCACACTGTTTTGGTTATTTTTACTCCTACTTTATTGTGTGGTATATATATATATATATATATAACGGAGGTCTGCAGCCCGGGTGGATGATCTAAACGGTGTGTTGTGTTCTTTGAGTTGGGTAGTTTGATTTCGGAACTTTCATTGCGATTCTAAACAACACTATCAATCCTAGTTCATACAAAACTCTACTACGATATTCAATCCATTTAGCTCAGAGGACAACCACCAAAACTGATACGCACATTTGTACCGCATCATTTTAATGTCAACGATAGACTAGGTGATGATTGGTAATGCGTTAAACATTTCAATGAACAAAGTCATTTACTTACATAAATCTCTTCCGTATGTAGCGTGAATTACTCTGACTCATCATACACAAATATTTATGACAATATTACATGTATAATAATAGGTTTTTTATTCTTTACGTATTTTCCGAAGCACCAAATGTAATATTAAGGTTTACTATTCATTTCGATAAAATATACACTACTTCTGTTTTTTTTCTTCATTGAAACTCCTTTTAAGATCAACTTTTGCCATGAATAAGTTTTGTATATAGGAATGAAACTGTATAACATTACTATTTATTTGTAACATTCTGTTAATAGTGTTACAAACACTTCGTATTGTATTTTTATTCACATTCTGTATTGTCATGATTGAAATCTAAGTGAATTTGTTTGTCCACTGTCATTTTTATATTAGTATTTTAATCTATCTAATTAAAACAGCTGTTTTACTGTAAATTTGTTCTTTTATCATGTGTATATATGTATGAGATTTTTCATTTGAGGATATATGATTATCGAAGTGTTAATTATGTACTTGTGTTATGAAGTGAAGTTGATTGTTCCTTTTTTTAAAACGGTTTTTACACTTTCCTTTATTAAAATTCGTGTTGAATCTCATCTTTAGTTGTGTGTGTGTGTGTGTGTGTAATTCTAACGCATTATAGATTATTTTGTGTACGTATAAAGAGATTACCTTCTGCAGCTACTTCATTCGAATATTGGTTTGAAAAGATTCAACTATTGTTACCTTTTTGTCATTTAGTAGTAGTAGTCTTATAATTAAGAATAGAAACGGTGTAATGTAGCCTGTTTGTGTAATGTTACAAACGATATTAAACAGAACTTTCATTTATACTGTAAATAATTGTTCCATTTTTTGTCTACCACGATAAATGAGTACACCATTATCTTTGTAATTTCAAAATTTTGACTGTTTTTGGCAATCATATTCTTCCTTTGTTGGTATCTGTTAAAATATGTTACGGTTTTAAGCTCTCGGTGTTCTTAGTATAAGGTAATTTATCTCGGTTAATTACTCAGTTTTTCATGTGCCAGTGTGTGTGTATATGTGAAGACTATTAACATTATCCGATCGCCCAAACCAAAGGCGATGAAATCGGTTTCCAACCTAGTGTATATAGTAGTTAAATGTTATATTTCATCCATTGAGGCATATCATCGTAGCGACAGTTTATTGTCATAGAATATAGTTTCCTTCAATATCTCTAGTCAAATATTTTTTAGCAAGCTTGCATAAATTATCGTGATTGTCGCTGTTTTTGAATTTTACATCCATAGGCATTCCCATCGCAAAATATATACACTGATGTTACAGTAATTATATAGTGTTCTTGTAGATGATTTCGAGTTTTTTTGAAATCCTTGAATGCTTTTGTATCCCAGGTTTGGGCGAGGGCAGTGAAACAAATGGAGTTAATGTACTTACATGCATCATTGTAGAAGGATAACTGTCGGACTGAAACAATTTCAGAAATTGTACTAATGTGTGGTGACTTTTGTTTTCGGCACTTTATACTATTATGTCATGAAAATCAGGATGCATTCTTATTTTTAAGTGATTGATTTTATAGTATTAGGCTTCGAAAGAATACCTGTACGGCTAAGATTTTATATAGATGAAACAAAAATGAAATTTGTCTCCAGGTCATTTAAAAATTGTTGACTTTCAGCTTGAAATTGGACGTACTTCAAAAATGCTTATAGAACTTTACATTGGGTAATTACGTACTTACATTTTTGGAGTATGAACCACCTACTAAGAATCTACAATCCAGCCTATCCTTAGCTCTCTTTTCCAGCTGTTCCTAAGTGCTGTTTCTTTTGATGTCTGCCTACAACTCCAGACGCAATGTGTTCTTCAGTCTTCCTCTCTTCATTTTACACTGAGCATTCAAAGTTAGGTCTTGTTTTGTGGACACAGTTATATATATATATATATATATATATATATATATATATAGTTTTTTATCTATAAAGAAGTCGTGAATATCGTTCCCCTAGTATCTTGTCAATAAAGTCATTTCAAACAGTATTAACTGAAAGCTATTCGAAGTTCACGACCATATAGCTTAATCAGTAATCTATTTCATTTAAGGGGCAGGATCAACATAACAAAGATTTAAGTTTTCATCGAACTTCTAAATATTACTTATTAATTAGTATCTTTTAAACCAAAAAATAACCTGAGAGTAAACCCTTCTGACGGATTTCTGTAAGTGCTATTCATTATTTTACTCTCTCTGAATAAGAACGAGTTGTAAAAGTATTTGTTTTTCATACCTATTTAAAGTTTTCACGAGCAGTATATGCTCGTTTAAATTAGCTTAGTTATTCATTCATCTGATTATCTGTCGGTAGTTGTTTTTTAAAATATCATATTGAACATACTCTACGTTTGCTTATCCGTCACCTACCTTGACGTACAATCCTGGTTAATGTAAGTTAAAAGAAAGCTAAAAGCAGACAATCCAAGAAATGATATCAGTCCATTAAGTCATTAACTACAAAAATGATTGTACAGCTTAAGTATATAAAGTCGTCGATACGAAAATTTTCTTCCCTAAATTACCTTAATTCTCCTTCAACACCATGGGTTTCTTTCGTTATTTGAAAACAACCAAGTCATTTACTGATCTGAGTCGTATTGATAGGTAAAGTATTGTTTGAACCTACCATCTATTTTAATTGAAAACGGAATACTTTAATTATTATGTCACTGTGTCTAGTTGTACTATTTCTTGATAGATAAAATATTACTTAATAGTGACTATTAATAATTTTATATAGAAAATTTTTTAATTGAAATCCTCATCAATTTTCCTTGATACAATATTTCATAAAATATTTATAGAGTTTTACACACACATACACCTCTCTGTACTGTAGATCTCTTCTGATTCGTATCTTATGTGTTCTCCAATCATATTATTCCTGATACATTCGATAGTTTAATAAAGAAGGGAGTTTTGTTTTGTGTTTGGATACTTTGGTTGCTTTTAATAACTTTAACTATTACTGTTTGTATATATATATATATATATATATATATATATATATATATATAACATATGCAGATGTTTGTTATACATCTTAGTCAGTCGTCGTAGAGCGTAATAGATGGTGTTGGTTGTCCCACGCAGGTGACTAGATAATAATAATTAATTATCTGAAATAATTCTTATCGTCTTGATGCCTTTTTCAACTCTGCAACACAGTTTCGTTGTAATTGCTTGCATACTACACAAAAGAATGATGTTACAATGTTGAGAAAGTGATTCTGTTTTATACTTACTTACGCCTGTTACCCCTTTGTGAAAGAGCATGGGATTCTTCATCAAACTTTATCCTAGGTTAATCTTTTCCAGTTAATTTATGTTTAAAAAGTTTTCATTCTGTTTTGATATAATTTTATAAAAACCTTATTGTCATGCATGGAGAACAACAACAGTATCGTACAAACAATAATTCTTGTGAAAGTCAATTATTCACTTCACCATATTTCACTTGTTTCTGTTATAATGGAATTAATGTTACAACTTCTCAGTTATATCAACAAAATTCGATTAGTTCTTCTACTACA